CGCTAGACTCCGAATTGAGCCACTGCTGTCAGACGAGGTAAGCGCAACTTCAAGATGCATTTAAAGAGCACACAAAGTCTTCTAACGTCTTCACGCTGGAGCAGATGCGAGCAAAGCTTCACGCTCATCTGGAAGAGAAGATCAAAGGCAACATGTGGGAAACCGAGATCAGCTCTCACCTCGCTAGGCCCCTCAGCGCCTCCACGTTCTGTAGCAGACACGAGCAGCTGCGCCACCCTCTCAGCGCCGCTCAGTTCGTCGCTGCAACGCAAACACACTCTCCAGTATCGAGTAAGTTGACGATAGCAGAAGAGCTCGCAGCGGTGCCAAGGTTTCCCTATTATAAGGAGGCACACGCCGCTGCGAATCGTATTCGTCGATGCAGATTGAAAGCTTGGGTCCGAGTTGCGCTCAAGACCCGTGTACGAGTCCTGGCCATTGCCATCCGTGTGCTTCGCCGTCGAGGTGTTTCGCGTCTTGTCGAAGGTTTCCGTCGTCGCCGACGTGCGGCCATTTGCATCCAACGATGTTATCGACGTCTTCTTCATTTGCGAAGCGATTTTTTACGTCCGTTCGTGTGCAAGAACGTCGCAGCTTGGGTGCGTCAGGGACTATTGCTAACAGCATCACGTGTGCTCATTGCTCGGTCAATAACGACGCTGTATCAATCACGAAAGGCACGACAAGCGATGGCTGCTCAGCGAGCGAGACATCTACGTCGATACGCCGCTAAGACGCGTGTGTGTCTGTTTGTCCATCAAGTATGGACAGTCAACTGGTTCCACCACAAACGCAGCTGTAATGTGGCTGGAATGAAACAAGAAGTCGCACTTTTTGAAGCCAGTGATCGTAGCGTCCAACTCGAGTACGCAACAGTCTTTGCAACGCCACTAGGCAAGGACATACTCAAAAAGGAGCTCGCAATGTGGCGAGAATTGGCTCGAACACGAGCAGTACAAAAACAGACATCAAACTCCTCAGAAACTGAAGTGGATTCTACGATCGTGAGACTTCGCCAATGCTTCCAAATCTTCGATCTTGACGGCTCTGGGACGCTCGATCTTGACGAGTTCCAACTAATGCTATCGTATCTACGTGGGCAGAAGCAACAGCCACCTGGTCGTAGCAGCATTAGTGGGAAAGGGACAGCCCCAGAGCCACCTAATCTGTCGTCTGCACAAGTGCGTAACCTATTCTCTGAGCTCGATCATGACGGCAATGGAGGTATCACATGCTCGGAATTGGAGAGCTGGTGGACTACTGAGCACAAACGATCAGCATTGTCCACATCAGCGTCCACGAACTTCTTCTCTCGTGGTATGGATGGCTTAGTCCTCCAGAGCCACGGACTGCTCTTCTGGCTGCTTGGGCGTAAGCAACAGCTGGAGCGAAAATTCGTCAAGAAACGCATGATACGACGCGCCATGGAGAAAGCCAAGCGTGCAATTCTGCATGAAGAAATCGACCGAGAGCGAGCCGCTTTTCTTTCTTCGGTCTTCCGTTGTCGCCACTGTGGCCGTCGGTTTGGCCTTAGGAGAGATTTGACTGACCATGCCGCTCATGATTGCAACTCCACTGATTTGATGGTCGACACTTTTATACTCAAGCGATGGAAAATTTTCGCTTACTAAAAGATGTGAAAGACTAGATTTTTGTCACGGTAGTTTATTTTCCTGTAAGAAATAAATCTTTGAGAGAGCCTGTTTTAATAAATTAAATGGTATTGTGCATTTCAATGCTTTTGTCCATTTCACTTAGCCTGATGCTCGATTTATAATAGAGATCGGTTTAATAATTGAGGTCTATAAAAAGTACAAGTCGATCTAGCTTGACTGGCTGATAAATCGAGCTACGGCAGCCTAATCGACCGCTCGGGATCGATCAACCACCAGATCCACATCGATATCCTGTAAATCGACCCTTTTTGCTGTTTTGAAATGGTAATTCGATCACAGATGATGCTTCCCTCTTCCCATCTCATTTTTACGCGTAATTTATGCTCCGATCATGCTCGATCTAGGCTATAAAACGGATGGACATTCCATCTGCAAAGCACAATACCATTATTGATTGACCGAGTACGCAAATTATGATCCAATGAACGGGGAACACGTGCCAGTGGTGGTCCTACCAGCTTAGTCGAGAAAACACACCTGTCGAAGGTAGAAGGAAGCCATCAGAGTTTCTTTCAGCTCCAGTATTCATGGCATAATGTCATCAAGGCGCAGAAAGACCCAGTCGGTATCGACATCATAATTGGGTGGGGGCATCCCGCGCTGTTAACTTTGCTGTGCTTTGAGAATTTGTCGTGGTACATCGATGGCACGTCCGCTGTGCTCCTAGGCTATAAAGCAATGCGTCACGATTATGGTCTATGACCAATCGAGTAAGCTTTAAGTTTCTGTCGTGCATGTGCTCACTACGTCCATGACAAAACAATTGTACCTGAAACTACTACAGTGCGTTTAAGATTATGTTGGGAGTAAATCGTTCCGAAAGACGTTGTATGCGAGTTTGAGGGGCGCTCTCATTGGAGCAATGCGTACGTTCTTCCCTGATATCTGCATCATTGGCTGTTTATTTCACTTTAAAAAGGCCTGCAGCCGCAAACTAAAGCGATATGGGATACCAAAGCTCAAGGCGAAGGTGGCTATGTCTCCAAGCGTGTTCGAAATACTGACCGTCATTGACCTCAGCAAAATTGCAGTACAAGGCATTGCGTGGGTGAAGGCTAAGATACGAAACCTTGTGTTACCAAGCAATTAGTCTACTCTCGACAAAAATGGAAAATATTTTGGGCATATTTTCAACGCACCTGGATGGATACACTTCCACCAACGTTCTGAAACGTGTACGCGATCAATTTGGATATTGTAAGCCGAGCCAGCAGCCCATTAGAGCGGTTCCATCGTGAGCTAAACATGAGATTCAGGCCTCATCCGTGTATGAAGCAATTTGTCACCACGCTGGAGATTCTAGCTCGTGAGTACGTTTTGCAACGTAATGCAATCATATCCGGAATTGCTGTTCCACCAGTATGAGATCGATTCGTGCTGCCAAGAGCCCCCGGACAACCCAGTATGGCTGACATTAAACATCCGCAGGCTGACTGGCCAAAGGCTGTCGAGATCTGGGAACAGAAGCGGCAACAGCTTCGTAGTCCGGGGCTTTTTGTTCGAACGGGGTACGGGCGTTGGTGACATCCCGTACCCACGCTCATCATGAGCGCTAGAAGCCGCGCGCGTCTGAATGCCATTTGGCAGCAGCTGCTTGCTGACTAGAGCTGTTAGCGTTTAGGGGTCTAAACTCGCTAAACTTTAAAAATCTTAACCCAGATAAAAGTTTGCAAATCAAACTGTAAACTCTGCTTACTAAGCAAAACTCGTCAGAAGCACTTGAAGCTGTACCACACAAAACCCTGATAAAACAATCTTGTGCTTAATGAAGTGCGTCAGTCTCCAATTCGCTATCAGAAGAATGGCCGAACGTCGCCATGCTGATCACACCAATGTCTTGGCATGCCCCTGGCAAGCTCGACCATCACCTTCAAACTCCTGATGGCATCCACGAGCGATTAAGCGCTGTGTCGGAGCTGCTAGTGGTGGTAGACCCCCTAGCAGATCTGGCCAGACGACGCCTTAGGCTCCTGCCCAAACACCAGCAAATCGCCAGCCTAAATAATAGCAGACAGCTATCGTCTCGTCAGCGAAAGCAGCCACGACATTATAGTTCCTCTCCACAGGCACCCTCAATCGGTCAGCGCAAGCAACGGAGAACCCGTCAGCGGAGCACGAAGAAATGCCAACCAACTACGTCACGTGCCCAGGGTACTTGACTGTGACCTTTGTGGAGCTCGCGATCTACGTGGCGCTGACGACGTTCTCAAACGTGAAGCTGGCAATGGCTGCGCAGGCTTTGACATGTGCAGCATACTCAGTGTGCATTACAGTGGACGCAGTGGTGCCAAGGACATTACGCTGATGACGATGACAGGGGCGACATCGGCGACAATCGCGACTGGACCGATGACAACGATGTCTGCAGTGTACACGACTGTGATCTCGGTGGCGCTAACGACGTTCTTGAATGCGAAGCTGATAATAGCTGCACAGGTCTTTGTAGGTGCAGCATACCCAGCATGCGGTACTTTAGACGCGGTGATGCAGATGCCAAGAGCGACGCCGTCTCGATATCGGCGTCGGGGATGTTGTGTAGGCGTAGCCCTTGGCTCAGATCTGACGCAAGACAGCGTACACATCCTTTTTGTTGTTATCTTTGTCTTTGCTTCCTTACTTACGATTCCTTACCCCGCGTGAAGGAGTCACACGTTAGCCTACAACATAGATCTTAAAAGATGTATGGCTCTGAAAAGCAAATGAAACTAGAAATGAAAATATCGCTGATAATTTTTTTGAATCCTATTAATCTTTATCCTGGAAATTCTCACAGCGAACTTGGCACTGGTTCGCAAATTGGAGAAAAAAACCCGCTGAAACTAAAGTTTATCTGTCATGTAATTAAAAAACATTACGGACACCGGTACAGTACTTTTACATACCAACAATGAAGATGTGATTAGTACTGTGCACTAATCGGTAAGCCAGCTTCAACCGCCAGCAGATCTTAGACGATCCTCTCGGTTTTGGTATCCCCAAAATTAATTTCCTCCAAATAAAGTGTCTCTCTCTGACGGATGTTCTCAACCTAAAGAAGATATTTTAGAATTCTGCAAGGCGTCTTTTGAACAAAGTGTTGTTGAGACGATCTAATTATTTATAATGTTTATCTGATAGTTTCTAAGCCTGGGATCTGCTGGCCGTTGATACTGGCTGGCCGATTAGTGCACAGTACTAATCACTACATGTAGTTCTCTGTTCGTAAGTAACATTACAGTACTGACAACAGTGGCGTGTTTTAAAACCGACAGCCAAACTCAAATATATATCTTTCCATTCTACAATTTGCGAACCAGTGCCAGCTTCGCTGTGAACATTCCCAGGATGAAGATTACTTTCTTCTTCGCGCTCCTAGCTGTAACGATCTCGTCTTCTGCTGGTGACTCCGTCTCTGCTCGAAAGCTTGCACTCTCTCCGGGCTTCGAGGGTAGCCCGTGCGCCGACATGCTGTGCCCGGAAGTTCATGACCCCGTCTGCGGAACCGATAAAGTCACTTATCCGAACGAGTGCGACTTAGGCCTGGCTCAATGCGCTCACCCAGAGCGAAACATTACGGTGTTTGCCAGGAGTACTTGCGCGGCGGTAGAATTTTAACGGGGTCGTATACAGGTCAGGCCTGATTATTGGGTCAGGCTCCATTTCCAACAGGATCTTCCTACAGAAGAAGAAGAATCGAGCAGTGAAGAAGATGACGAGGCTGTAGACGTCGACAGTGATGATGACAACGAGGGCGTCTCTGGTACTAGCAGCGAAGAGGACGCTGCTAGTACCAATTTGGGCGCAGGTGTGATCAGCAATGACAGTGATGCCGATGAAGGCGACACTGAAGCCGACCAACCTCGTGCCGCGCAGACCATCGTGGTCTAAGCATTCTAACCCAACTGCTTAGCTTCGTATCTTTCACTTCAATATGTAGCTTAGCAATTGGTCCTGTGTTTGGTAGGGCCGTCAGGAAACCCGCCTGACCCAATTATCAGGCCCTACCCGTAAACGACCCCAAAAATAGCTAACCTGCGCGGCGACGTAGCTCCTGACTTGCTTTCTCAGCAGGGACACCCCGACGCCAGACATGGCCAAGACAGTAATCTTTTTGCTCTTTTCCGCTTCGAAGTGGGTGCTGTTTTTTTGGTGTTATCAAAACCCTTAATTGTAAGCGGCGGCCACAGTCGTACCGAAATGGGTTGTAGACCCAGAATACAATAAAATATTCGTCCTCGAAAAGCGTGTTTCATGAGAGAAAGTTCTGAGGTTTGGAAACATAATTTTTCTGTCTTTAGACTCCACGTTAAGGAATCAGAAGATTGCTTCCAGTACTAGTTAGAATATTCTGTCTCGATTTTTTTCTGGATTTTGATCCAGCGTTACGCAACTCGACGTTTAAACTATTACGAAGCTCTACGTAGTAATTCTTTTCCTCTTACGTTAAAAGCTTCATCAAGACGATAGACCCTTTTAACCAAATGTACCGCAACTCGACGTCATACTTGTAAAATACTGCTAGCGTTAGTTTTACCCAGTCCTATTTCTCTTTTATTTTAAAAGCTTTATCGCGACGATAAACTCTTATTACTAAATAGGTTGTGTTTTTTAATGATTTTGTCTTTCTCGCACGCCCGCTCTGCGGAGACTGACATGGACAGTCTGTCGGTGTCTCTGGTAAGTTATTTTTTATCGTTGATAAACTACTGTTCAGATAAAAGTACTCGTACAGTACCACTGAGGCTTGTTAGGGTAAAATCGCTGCCTCTCTTTCATCTTGATGGCTTTAACTTTTTTCATGTAGTATACCGGTAAACCATTTGCTTTTACATTTCAGATATAGTACGGCATGCAGGTTATGTGCTGAAATACGTCAGCGAGGTTAGCTGTACCGGTACACGTATGTGTTGCTTGCTTGCTTGTACTGTACTGCGCTCCTGTATTGTGCTGTGAAAATGGGCTGTAGTCAGAGGTTAATGGTAACTTCAAAATCGGTGAAGTTAATCCTGTGAAAATATCACCTGTAGACCAGCTAATATAAAAAAATCGCCTAATATTTTCTTCTGAGACAAAATGATATTATTAAATATCAAATTAATATTAGTTAAAATGATTTTTAAAGATTGCGTAATCTGTTTAAATCCACCAACGAGATGTCGTTAGCATTCGACTAGCTGAAGGTATTACTAATCAACCGTCAGGGAGATGGAGTTCGGAACAATTGTGAGAGTGACTGTGACGGGGTCACACAGCACATTGCGCTAGAGGAAGTTATCTTCCGAGAGTATACAAACTCTCAGTGAACAGCAGTTCACAGGTCCCCTCTTTATTCAAAAGAGAGCGGAGTGACCTAAATAAGGTAGATTGTAAACTGAGTAGGTAGATAAAGCTTGGGTTTAATACAAACTATAAGTTACCTATAGAAATACAATGTCGTGACCAATGGTTGGCTTTGAACGACCTTGGTACCTTGTAGCAAATATCCCGGAGTATGACGTGTCATACACCTGACGTGTGAAGTGTCACACTTCATGTAACCAGGGTACACTTAGGGCTACGTACCCCGTTACATCCTCCCCCACTTAGGTTCGGTTTACCGACCAATCAGAATGAAGAGGTGTTCGTCACAAACTCTCATTCTCAAAGTCGAAAACCATCGACATGACCGCGCGAGCGCGGCGAAGGCTCACTTCACAGTTAGAGCCTCGAGCAGCAACCTGTGCGCTCTTCGTCTAGGTCTCCAATTCGATCGTTACCATGCCTCGTGGCACAGCAAAGAGCGGAGCTAAGACACGCTCCAAGGCTGCGGCCGGTAAGGCGCAAGCCAAGAGCACTAAGCCTCACGGCAAAGGCTCGGCACTCAAGGAGGCTACTCAGGTGGCCTCCGAGGCGATCGGTTCCTCGGGTGACGCGGATGTGGGCAAGCGAGCAAGCAAGCGCCGCAGTCCGTAGTCCTCGGCCTCAGACAATCGTCCGAACCCTCGGTTCGTGGAACGTGAGTTCAGCTCTGGCAGTGAGGACGAAGCCGAGCTCGAGAGCACGCACGATGCTCCTGCGGGCTCTGTCGAAAGGCACAGCCCAGTGCTTAGTGAGCACAAGGATGACAGCGTGCAGTCGCTCGCTAGTGATCAAGGTGATCACAGTCCCAGGACTTCTGTGCGCTCTGAGAGTCCGGCCGTCAAGGCTAAGGTCACTCCCAAAGCTGGTGGCGATGAGGAAGAGAATCCTCGCAAACGTCTCTCGCTTGCCGAGGGTCTTGCGCGTGCTAAGGCCTCTAAAGCCGAAGGCGCCAAGCCCTCTAAGAAGCGTACAGCCTCTAAGTCTCCACTCCGCGAGGAGAAGGAGACTCAACACTCCTATCAGAGTATCTTCGACTCCTCGGATGAAGAGGAGGAGAAGGAGGAGCAAGAGGAGGAGGAGGGTGCTATCGCTGAGCCCCGGGAAGTCTCGAATGACCTCGACCAGCAGCAGGAGGAATTCCAAGCTGCCCAGCGTGTGCGTGGGGGTTCGGTGGTGGCACCCGTCAGCCAGGGAGCTGTCATCAACTCAAGAGGGTATTGGCCTCCCGAGGAGAGCTCTGGGGCTGACCTCTTCTTAGAACTTCTTGTCGCTCCTCGTGGCCTTGTAGGCGGCCACACTTCTATAGGCATCTACGAACGTGCCCTTGTTCAGAAAGAACAGTTGTTCGTTGGCAACTTGGAGGCTGCTCGGTGTGTGCTTCTCGCGCCACACCGCATCCCTCTCAGGGACTTCACGACTTGTCGTAAGAAGCCCAAGACCCGGGGTGGTCTCTATCCTCTTTGGGGATACCCCTGGGTTATGCCCGAGTACTGTCCCACGTGGAGTTCTTGTGAGGACATGTTCTGGGCATGGGTGGAGTCTCTTAAGTACTCATCCACGGAGTTACGGGAACTCCATGAAGATCAGCAGCTGTCCCGTATCCTAGACCAGCGTGATCTTCGTGTGAGGTTTGCTCACTTGATCAGCAAGCGCATGCTGCCAAGGGACATCCTGAAGCGCGCGGCTTCTAGCGCTCACGATGAGCGTCGGTACGGAATGTATTCATCGTCCGTACCCCGTTCGGGCAAGAAGCCCCGGACTACTTTTTGAAGCTGCTGCCGCTTCTGTTCCCAGATTGCGACAGCCTTTCAGGCAGTCAATCAGGAGCCGTTCAATCGGCTCCACGATTTCTCGGAGTGGGCATAACCCCTCCATTTCACGAGGAGCTGTCGCTTACCGCGACGCCGTTGCTCCTGGAGGATCCGCTCCTCGTGGAAGTGGACTTCTCCATTCCGGCCAAGCAGGGGCGGAGGTGCCCTCGTACGAGTACGAGTAGTCGACGCCTCCCGAAAGCCACTCTCGTCCGAGTGCTCCAACTGCGGGTCCGACATAGGGACCTGAGCTTGACCGCCTCCGTCAACGTGTCCTCGTGCTTGAGATTGCACTTGGCCTTGGGACTGGCGGTGATGCTGCCGCCCAGACCGGGAATCAGGGCGAGCTCGCTCGTCTTGTGGGCCGCCTGGACCTGTTTAATGCGAAAGGTCGCGAGCCTGCATCTGCGGGTGGATCACCGGGCCACTTCGTCCGATCTGGACGAGGCCTTTCGCATGATCCGACGGATCGAGGCTCTGCTGCCACGTCCGGAGCCGCCTGCGGCCCACTCCCAGACGTACGCGTATGGTGCGTACCCGGCGTACTCAGCGTACGCGGCGTATGGCGCCGTGGTCCGTTCATACGGATCCCCTCCGGCGTACGGCCTTGACCGCAGCCTTGCCGTTCCGACCGAGGCTTGGCGCTCCGACGCCCTCGTCGACGTCTGTGACCGGCCCTCGCTTCGAGGAGCTGGGTCAAGGGGGGTCTGCGAGTCAGCAACCCCCTGCGGGTCAAAGTACCGCTTAAGACGTCCAACATAGAACGTCGGGTGCGTCGTCATTGACTTTGGCAGGTCGATAGTGTACGACGCACCATGTCTGGCCAGGACTGCAAATGGTCCGATGAAGGGGTGCTTCAGCTTGTTGCTGCCGACAGAGCTGACTGTGTCAAGAGGTAGGTTCCTCGTGTCTAACAACACTAAGTCCCCCACCTTAAATATACCTAAGTTTCCTCTTCCATGTTTGTCTGAGTACTCCTTTTGTTTATCTTGGGCCGCTGCCATGGCTTCGCGGACCCTGCTGACAACGCTCAGCTTGGTATCCATAAAGGATTCCACTTGTTTCCGCAGCGAAACTGGTCTCACATCCGAGACCTGGGAGGAAATAGAATAGAGGAGTCAGTGGATCCTCGAAGAATGAGAGGCACTCTGGGGTAACGGAAGCCGTTCAAGTAGAACGGCGTGAACCCCGTGGACGCGTGCACCGCGTTGTTGAGCGCAAACTCAACAACTGGAAGCTGCGTCGACCACGTACGTGGTGCTGCCGCGCACACACTGCGCAGAGTGTCCTCGAGCACTCGATTGACGCGCTCCGTTTGACCGTCTGTTTGCGGATGATCCGCAGTGGACATCTGCAGACGAGTTCCCAGTAAAGGGAACAGCGTTTTCCAAAACGTGGCAGTGAACCGCGGGTCTCGGTCCGAGACAATCGTCGCCGGGAGACCGTGATAGCGGAACACGCCAT